TGCTCTCTCTTCTCCCACCCACATTGTTCTTCTTCGTGTTACTGCTGAACCCTGCTCGCTGCCGACAGGGCTGAAAAAACTCACCCTGTTAACCTCGGACAGATCGTTTTTCACTGGAATGAATATATATGAAATATATTTGAACAAAAGAAAAATCCAATATAGAACATTTCAGCAAAATGATGTGCATGCAGAGCCGAAACAGCCAAGAGGCCTGTCATGTGGCTCCTTAAAGAATGACAATTAAATATCCTTCATCAGCGGATATTCACTGAAAAAGAATACTCGCATTCAGCATTGAAACGTTTACTGAGAAAAAATGTGTCTGGTTTAAATTGCAGTGTTTTTTTTGGACAAAAAAACGAGTCTGTATTTATCTCAGAAAGTTATCCATAGGAGTGAATTGATCAACTATAGTGCACATTATTTATTTTTCAGCTGACTACATCTGAAATCAATGCGTGCCCTGATTTTCTTCAAAGCTTGCTCCCTGCACGGTAATTTAAAAGGAACTGACTTGAGTTTTACATTTGGCTGGCTCCATCAATCACTTCCTGTGTCGTCTCGTTACCCACCCTGCTCCTTGGTTGTGTAATTATCCTGTCTCGATAGCCCCACTATGTCCTCCTCTTCCTTCAGCCGCTCATTTACTCTGACAGTCAGCCGGGCAATCAGTCATTTATAGACCAGTGCTAATTTGTGGTTTTGCTGTGTCAGCATCAGATCTCTGCTCTGTTTACACTAAATCCTATAACTTGCTTTTATTTAGATTGTTTGATGATAATATATTTGCTCTAAAATGACATGCTAATTGTTTGTTTTTTCTAGTGATGAACTAAGTTAAACCTGCACTCATTATAAAGTCTGTTTGGATATGATCATTAGCTTGATACAGGAGAGGGTGAAAGGAACATGGCTATTATGTTTGGTGTGTCGATGTGCTGCGTATGCACATTCGAAGTTAGAAAACGTAATCCAAATTACAGAAAATACTTGATGTGTATATTTGAGTATTATTTATTTGTTTTGTAATTTTGGTAACCTGTCCCTATGGTCAGGATAATGGCACGTTATATTGGATGGACAGTAGAGTAAATTCATGTGACTGAAGAGCATTCACATCGTCTGACAATTCAAATTGTGTGAAGATAGTCACATGCATGTCAATGCATCTATATATCAATTAAATATTGGGATTAAAACCTTAAATGACTTTGTATGATGTGAGGCATCTTATTTGTTTGACTTTTCTGGCATGTTCTTATTAATATTGCGTAAGAATGTGACCTCAATTTAACATAATTTGGTCCTGAACAATAGCTGATTTTGACACTGTGTTAGCATCGATGATTTGCAAATGGAGCACAAAAAAAACTGCAGAAAACATAAACAAATAATCCAATTTTAAAGTATGTGTGTGTATTTTAGTGAACACACATCCATAATGAAAGTTACCTCGCTGTATTATGGTAATAAATCTCGTTATGCTCCCAGTATTCCACTGTGCAGCTGACACAGATTGTTATGAGTCATTTCTAATGGGAATGCAAGAAGCTGCTTGAATTGGCTGCAATACAAAGATGCAGGAAACAGGCCTGCTATAATATGAAAACACAAAAAGATAATAACGGACTGCCCACAAGGGTTTCAATCTTCACTTGAACTGTTTCCCACTGCTCTTCTCTTTGTAACTCTCAGATAAAACCGTGAAAAGAGTCTGAATGCACTCACAGGATAAAATCCCTTCCTCTCCATTTAACCTGAACATTGATTACCATAATCAACGATGTAACATTCATTATAGATGTGTGCTCACATACTTGAACATATTTATTATTTATTCAGGTTTCCCTCATTAGTCAAATACTAACAACAATACACAATACTTGTTTGTTCTCCCTTGGCAAAGCCTTGCTGCTCCCACTGTTTGAAAATCTGCTTTCAGGCTCATTTATATGCTCACATATGACCCACAGTGTCTCTATGTCCACCTATAGCACATTCAACTACACTTTCACAGTTTTCAATAATTGTTGTGATGCCCTGTTTCTCCTCTTCTCTTTTTCCCCTACTCACAGCTGTGATTTTGCACCCTTCACACTTGATGCCTGTTTTATCTCTCGTTCTTTCACTGATGGACTATATTTCCTGCTTCTCCTGTTTACACTGGATGTGCAGGCACTGCCTTTTGTCTTTATGGAGCGACTCCCTGCTGGCACGGTGCCTAGAACAACTCTCTAATCTAATAAACAGCATAATCAGGCCACTTCTCCTGCCGGGGTGTTTCACCCGAGAGCAAACCCCAGAGGCAGAGGGAATTGAAGGTTTATGGCTCTAACGGGGACCGGCTTGTATAGGCCTCAATCCCTCAGTGTGTTAACCGTCTGTTGTATATTATCAGTGTGTCAGCTGTTGTGTGCATGTATGTTTGCAAGTCTGGCTGAGAGCAGCTGCTATGTGTGGACAGTGAAGTCTGTAGGCTGAGTCAAGAATGAAACACTAAAGTCCTCTCCCAGTGTCTTTGTTGCTCAGCAGGATGTTCAAATCTGGAGGTTTGGGGTACAGCTCTTCTGCCCTCATGACCACTCATGGAGAAAGCACACCAACGCCCTCGCCTCTCTGCAGGAGGAACAGCATCTCTCTGTGGAGGAGGAGAACATTACTGGTGCTCCCGGAGCTTATTCCTCTGCCTCCTGCTGCTGCCGCCTCTTTCCTCTCTGCAGTCCCTCAAATGAACCTCATTGCCATACCAACTCCAAACTTTAAGTTATAAATACCATGTGAGGTGTTTAGCTCCCCACAGAGCCACATATGGTACACCCATTGGCTGTTGTCATGACAGCTGAGGGTATTACGGATAAGCTATCAAATTGTGTATTTAGGTTCATTGTTTTGGACCGAAATACACATTTTGTTTTCAAAATATTTAGGTACTTTTATTGAAACCAGAGCATTACAATCCATGAATCCAAAAATCGTCTCCTTTCAGTGGGTTTAGATTAGCGTGATGACAGGCTCTGCTTTCCTCTCACTTGCTTTTCACACCAATTGCCTCGCCATCTCTCACCGAAATCTGTTCTTTAAGACATTTTTCTCAAGAACTGGTTCCTCTGCCACTGCTTTTCTCCACATCTTTCCTGGCTCCATTTCTATGTCAGCATATCCCATGTTAACTCTCCTCAGACGTGATTTGGGTTTGAGTTCAGAAGAAGGAGTGCATAATAATCCTTCTGTTATTGCAGAGTTAAAACAAGACAGATGAGATTCAGTTTAACGTTATGTTACAGAAGATGTTTTCTTTCAGTGTCTGAATTTCATGGATGTATAAACAGTCAAAGTGGTTTAATACATTCATGGTCCTCCCAATTTATATGATGATTTCTCCTGCTTCCTGCACTCTGTGCTGCTGGACTAATGCATGCACAGTAATGTGTTTGGACCAGCCATGGCTGGCATCCTCTTGTTTTAAACAAACAATGCTCAATGGAATATTGCTTTTGTCTTGTACAAACATTTTATAGGGACATTTAGAGTTGGGAGGGTTGGGGTTGGCGGAAAATTGGAGGTTGTTGGGATACTGTATACCTTAATCTTATTATTTACAAAACAATCAGGAAATTGCTTGTTATACGCACCATATAAGATCCTGTAGCAACATTATTTAGCCAGAGGCTGCAGAGAGTATTCCTTATATTCCTTATTTTGCAGATTTACTTCAGAATTTAGACATTTATAACATAAGATTTCAGTAAGAAAAAAACAACTACACACCCTCTCATCTCAGCGTTGATAAGCAAATGGGTCTCATAGACTGCTAATGGGGAATTGAATTAGTTTGACAGACGCACGATGAATGAGATGACACAACATGAGGGCCCTGCTAATGTAGTGTATTATCTGATGTGTGTTTAGAAATGAGCATGTATTTCAGAATAAATCACTTGGTAGGTGCTGGAAACTCTGGAAACTATAATGTAAACTTTGGAAACTATATAGACATAAGACAGCGTAACAAGTTATTTTCGTGAACATTTGTCGCTTTGTTGTACTTTGAGTTAGAAATTGAGAAGCTAAATATTTTTGCTTCCAACCTTTTAGAAATACAATATATTCCTTATTTGCGGTGAAAATGTAGACATATACAGTGAACATTTACAATTTTAGAGCAGCAAAAAACACTGCAAATCTTTTTTGTTGTCAAATAACAAGTCAAAGTAATTTCTTGAATTCAAAAACCTGTAGTTATTTTTGATGAAACCTTATTCCGCTCTTGTGATCTTCCTTTAACTGTGCTCTCTTCTTGTCTGTATTTGCTTTCCTTTTGGACATTCATAGTTTGGCATTGGAAAAATAGTCCCTTTCTTGAGGAGAGTTTACCACATAACTTACTGTTAAACCACAACATGTTGATTTAACACTAAGGTATTTTGTTCAATACATTACGGAAATATTTAACGTGTAAATTAGTGAGCTTTAAAACATTTGATTGGTGAATCAAAATGTCTAAAGCTCACTAGTTGCTGTTCACCCCCACTTCAAATCTGTATGCTTATCTTAGCTAACCAATCTTTAGCTGTAGCTTGATGTTTAGTGCAGAAATACGTGAGATGTATCCATTTTCTTATATAACACTTATAGAAATAAGCATTGTACCCAAATGATTCTTATTATATAAGATACAATATTTATATGTATCCGTAGATGCTTGTGCATGAGTGTGCAGGCTGGAGTTTGTCAAATATGCTGCTCCGAGGTCCTAATTCAATAATATCTTGCTAATAAGTCGACCTGTGGTTCTAATTACAAATGTCGTTAGCTGCTCCTTGTTTCGAATCAGCTGATGGATGTAGAGGAAAGTGGCTTTATTTACCATTGACCTGTGCCCTTCGTAGTCTGGTCGTGACCAGTGTTACTGTAAAACCAATACATCCTACATTTCAAATTGAAGTTTACAAATTGTTGTTACATAATACTTCCTAATTGTATGTGTGTTTGTGCAGGGGAAGGAGACGACAGAGGAGGAGGATGAAGTCGCTGTGGGGATGGACAAAGGCTTTATGGATGAATTCTTTGAACAGGTTTGTTTATCTCACCGACCTGATATCTCCATATTCTCTCTATCTTTCTATCTCTGTGTCAGTGACTATTATTCCCTCTCACACATTTACCAGGTTGATAGTAGGCTGATAACTCGCCATCTTAAATTACAGTTCAGGACACACTACAATCTGCCTGTTTATTATTTATGTCCTCATATTGAGTCTAGTTTTTCAGAGATCTGTAATCAATCTCTTCTCTGGAGAGCAGATATGATTGATAGCTAGTGATGTTGTTGCATGGATGGTCGTTTATTTTATTTTAATTTGAAACAGACTTTATTGATTCCTCATCATAACACTGCTTGTCCAGCATTGGTGATTTCACTTATTTCTCTCGCTTGTCTTGTGCATACCAGATACTGTATGCACCTTTCCTGAATCTATGCATTAATATGGGAGTCTGTTCTCTGTACACGCTGTACACATGAGCTGGGAACACGCTGAACGTCGTGATGGCTCTCAGGGGGGGGGGGGGGGGCTCCATTTTTAGAGCGCCTATATGTAATGTACATCTCCCACAGTGAGTGTCTTTGAAAAGCAGAATAATTTGCCTTGAAAAGGAGACATCATACTCCATTTTTATAGTCATTTTTAATTTATTTATTTGCTGTCTCTGCCATATTTCTTATATTTTACGAGGCTGTGCTTCTGGTTAGTTCAAATGTCTTTGTTTGTCAATGTATGTACATGGGGTTTTAACTTTGAAGTATTTAAATCACCATTGCAAATGCTGCAACAACGGTAGGTAATATAGAATGAGGTTGAACGCCATTTAGCAGCATTTGTGAGTTATGAAAGAGGTTTGACAATCAGCTCTTTGATATGTGAGTTTTCAAAGCAATACGAAACAATAAACACATCACCAGGAGAATCATGTGGGAGCGAGCCGCAGGTGCATCAAAAACTCTGTATCTCAATAATCACGACGTTCAGACTAACAGCAGCAACAGCGAGAAGCAGCTAATAACTAATAAACAGGCATATGACGGACACACTGTACATAACACAGGGTACAATTCCTGCAAGGTGAAGCCACATGGTAGTTCTGGCAGGTAAAGAAGACATTTGAACCATTTAGTACACCTTCAAACTTCCTTCAACTCAACTGCAAACAAATAATAATCATTGGCATACATTTTCTCACTCTGACTGCTCAAATGAAACCCCCTACACGCGTCTGCAGCCTCAGAATCATCCTCGACCCAACCCTTCTTACCTTTTGGCAACTACTTAACCTAAACTGCTCCACCTCGTGAACATTGCCCTCCTACCTCCTTACCCATTACTCCATCCCTTCCAGACTTGACTAATGCAATAGCTTCCTCTATGGCTGTCCGAATGAAATCAGAAATACATTTCAATAAGTCCAGAACTCCACTGCCTGCCTGCTCACTTCCACAGTCAGGTTTGACTTCAAAATATTACGCACCCACAAAGCTCTTAACAACCTGGCCCCTCCCTTTCTCTACAGCCTGCTCTCCCCCCACATCCATCCCCAAGCTTGGGATGTACACATTTAAAGGTGAATAAATCCACCATTTACATTGTAAATCAGAGGTCAAAATCGAAGAGAGCAAAATGAAAACATCCTCTGCAAAAAGACGTTATATCAGCAAACGGGACATTCTCCAGCTGCACATTAATATTCTTTTATGAATAAAGAAAAAGAAGAGATGACTAGTTCAAGGGCCACATTTTACTTGCCTGACTTTTAAAAATGAATGCTAAGATCTCACATTGAAAATAAGGAATATGTGTCTCCCAGCTTTTCCATGCAACACATATTCAAATACTAAGCATCTTCACATTGTGTAAAAGTGACAGAAGCAGGTTTTTTTCTTCTATACCCAGAACTAAATCTCTTTAGTCTGAGATTTGACAATCATTACAGGGTATCATACACGGTATACCTTTTTTTAATGACTCTTAAAACACTCTCATTATCTGATGTTTTATCTCTGAGAGAACACTGCATGCAGTCTGCTGTCATTTGTCTCCTCTCATTTCTGTTTTGCCGCTTCTGTTCTTCTGACAGACTGTCTTTATCGATCCTAGATACTGAAAGATAATCCTCTTTTATCTTTCTGGAATTTCAGTCCATTACATCTGCCTCCAGTGAGAAACTGGAGGATGAGTGTAAATGGAGACAGCGGGATCAACAGAGAACAGTTTGAGACCGAGCAAAAAGCAGAAGGGATGATTTTGAAATAAGAGGATTAGGCGAAGTAAGACAGCTAAACCACAGAGGAGGGACAGGTACATGAGACAGATGGAGATATAGATGGGGAAGGCGGCAGAGGGAGAGGGGCAGTAATCAGTTCTCACTCTGACGGGGTGCGTAAATTAAGCTTTTAGTAGTGTAGAGATTGCTGCTGCCTTCAACCCTTCACTCACAGCATAAACATGACACTCAGTGGGGGTATTGCTTTCATAATGTGTTTGTGGCATTTGTTTGTGCAGGCATGAATGAGGCTGTGTATTTAAGTATCATGTATTACACTGTGCATTAAGTGTGTGACTGTTGTTGTGGATTTCATTGTTTAGATTGCATCAAAGGATAAGGCTGCCTTTCATAATTTTTGCCCCATGCCATTATATTGTCATTTCAAAGTGAGAGAAAAAAACAGTTTTTCATAAAATCTTGCAATATTCTTCTATTTACTGTCAATGTAGTACATACATTATGTGTGACTACATTAACATTGTGGAATATGGCATTTGAGCTACAAAAATCTGGTTTCAGAATAATAATTTACATTTTTCTCCTGAAAATGTATGTGAATGGCCCCTCAAGTTTTACAACAGAAACAGCTTTCAATGCGTGTTTGTTGCCTTTGTGTCTCGCAGCAGTTAAGTACAACACACCATCTCTTAAGCATTCATGTTGATTATTGCTGCTCATGCTCTTTCTGCATATCATGTATTTATTTTGCTATGTATATAAATGTCATGTTCTTAAATGTTGTATGTGAGGCACTACGGATGGAAACTAGCTCAAAGCTAAAATCCGGCATGTTTACGTTTTTAAAGCATTATTTGTTTTAAATGTTCATCAATGTGCACTGTCCCTCTTCAAATAAACGATTAAATGAAAATGAAAAAAATTATTCTACATTTCCTCTTAAAACTCATAAACCCACCAAAGCAGATTGACTAGCAGTTGGCTGGGAATTACATTATAGTTTAGATTTATTGGTTTTGTCTTTTTATGCTTGACAAAAAATGATATTATACATTTACTATCAACATAATTTAAACACGTGGAAGAGCTTTTCGGTTTCACATGGTGGACATATCTCTTCATAATAAACATAACCAATTACGTTTATTCCTCAAATCTCATCATCTAGAAAAGCCTTGTACAAAGGCAAACTCGTCTGTGGTTCAATTTAAAAAAGAATAAGATTGGTTGAATCACTAAACAGCTGCAATGACGTCTTTACCTTCTACCATGTTGTTTAACAGCAGGTGTGACATCTGAAGTAGGCTGTGTGTAGCCACACTTTCTGGCGTTCAGTGTGTATGTGTAAGTACAGATCTCTATTATATGTTGACTTCACAGTGTGCACGCATGTGTCTGCAATAGTGATGCTTAGCTGAGTCTCTTATTGTATGTCTCATGAGTTAAGCTGCAACAATGAGTATGCTTTAATAAAATAATGATTATTGTGTTGTTAAATGAAAACACCATTTTGAAAACTGCTCAGTCTGTGATATTTAGCAGATTTGTTTATACCATTCAAATGTTTTGGTAAAGCAAAATGGACCATTCAAAATTGTAATACATTGTGATGAGGCGATAAAATTATTCTCAGCCCTACTTTTCCTATTTTTCATGCTTTGACATGTGTCAGTACTCTTGTGACATGGTGTAGCAGGGCTCATTTTATGGCCCAAAAAACAATCCCTATATGATGCAAGAATGAAGTGAGCAAAAGCAAGAAATATCCACTGTGGCCTTAAGCCTTCTTATTATTATACTAAGCAAAAAATTATTAGACTAACTTCGATAAAACTATAATCAGATGACAAAGTATGAAACAAGCAATTTTCATCCTGATGACTGCACCGCCAGCTGTTGATTTTGAATGGTTAACGGTTCAATTTGTAGAAGATACCAACAAATCTCTTGGTGGATACAAGCATGTCAGGCTCATAAAGGAAGTTATGAAATGGACAAGTGTGTATGTGTGTCTGCTTATTTATTTCTGCATGTCTGAAATTGGTTTTTCTCCCTCACTAATAAAATGTGCCTGATGTCTTATGAGGTCTGAGAGACACACCGTGACTCACTAACACATGGTCCCTAAACTGAGACAGCTTTAAGTGGCTTCATCTTCTGCTCACTTTCCGTCTCCTTCACTTTCTCTCCAGCCTGTGTTCATGTCTCAATCTTACTTTTTAACTTTGTCCTCCCTCCCTGCCTGTCCGTCCTACAGGTATTTAATTGTAACTACCTGTACTTACCTCAGTGTGCCTTCTGGTCTCTCCCCACTGGTATTCCAGAGCCAATTATGTTGTTATTAAAAAATATACCCGATCCAATCAACAGCTAATTAACTAGCTAATGGGAGAATAATGACCCAGGCTGAGAGCTCCAGAAGATATGGATTGAGAACTGAAGGGAGTGCAGAGCTGTGAGGAGTGTTAGGGGAGAGCTGGGCTGCAAATGGAAAAGTCCAATAAGGTGTGTGGTGGAGCAGGTGGAGAGGAGGAGAAAATGATCGGTTGATGACAGACTGTGATGAAAGCAGATATTGATGAAGTCACTGACAGACGTGCCCTGCTGCTCGTCCAGCTGTTACCTGAGCCAGAGGCAGCACAGCTGGGGACGAGGCAGCAGGGAGGAATGTCAAACTATATCTTGGTGGCAGATGATGGGGTGAAGTGCAGAGGACATGTCATGCACTTCCAGTGTCAGCTATTCTTAAAATATTTCAACATGTGCTTGAATTAATTATTCAAAATGTGGAGAGATGTGATCACTCTCCTGCCTAAAGTTAGATTAGAATATAGATACCAGTCTGAGGTCTGTCACTAAATACGAACTTGACACGGGGAAGATCATTCACATGTCTAATGGCAAACTACTCATTTAAATTCGAGTAGGACCCAGATGAGGGTGTTGCACTTTTTCTTTGTACATGTGATGTTTCGGTGTTGTTGTTTTTTGTTTTGTTTCTTTCCGTTAACTGTCAAGTGAGAACTAAGTATTTTTTGTAGTAAGTTTTCTTGTTTCTCTTATTATCCTATGATACTGTGTGAATAAGAAAATATGAAGGACAGACCATCTATTTCCATTTTGTTTAGAAAGGGGCAGGTAACATAAGATTATTTTGTTCTCCCTGCTCCTTTTCGGTCAATGGTGTCTTAATAGAGACATGTTTTGTAAACAATTATTATACATTAAGTTGTGCATACCATGAACGGAACAAATAAAAATGAAAATGCTATTTTCATTGTTGAAGATATTTTGTTTTCATATCATTGGTTAGTTGGTTCCTCGGTTGTTGTTGTTTTTGTAGTAGAATATGCCTGAGATTTTTTTAATAGGTATGCACCTAGCCGGAAAAAAAGTGTGATAGCGATCCAGATTTTAGTTTTTTATAAAGACGAATAATTTAAACAGTGTTCACATTTCAAACAAAAGAATATACATACAAAATCAGGACAGAATAACTGTTTTCATATTATAAATGTTTTATGTTTTCAATGTTAACTAATGAATGCTGGATTTTCTGTATTTTCGAGCTAAACTCCTTGGTTGCGATTAAGGCATCTCTCACTTCTAAATTACATAATAATTCTTAAAATATTGTTACATCCTTGTGACAAAATGTTGGACAGCTTGAAGGAGAACTTGACTATGAGCCAGACATTACCGCTCAACATCAGCAGACAACCTCACTAATGCTCTCGTGGCTGAGTTGGAGCAGATCTCTGCAGCCAGGTTTCAAAATCTCATAGAAAACCTTCCGGGGAGTGTGGAGACTTTGTTTGAAATCAGCCTGTAGTTTTGTCAACACACGACACACAAAAACAGAGATTACTCCACTATTTGTAAAGGTCACAAAATTATGATAAATGAGACGGGATACATATGAAAAACTTTTAGTATCTGTGTGTTCCTCCACGTTAGCCTGCTTCCCTTTGCTTTCATTCTGCCTCTAATACGATAATGACATTTTCTGTTCGGTTTCTATCAACATCACTCACACTAATCACTGCTACTTCCTGCCTCAGCACTGAGGAGATCTAAAGTGCCTGTCTCTCTCTCTCTCTCTCTCTCTCTCTCTCTCTCTCTCTCTCTCTCTCTCTCTCTCTCTCTCTCTCTCTCTCTCTCTCTCTCTCTCTCTCTCTCTCTCTCTCTCTCTCTCTCTCTCTCTCTCGACAGGTGGAGGAGATCCGGGGTTTTATTGAGTCTCTGGCAGAGAAAGTTGAGGAGGTGAAGAGGAATCACAGCGCCATCCTCGCTTCACCCAACCCAGATGAGAGTAAGGCTGTTTTTTCAATTTTGTATACAGTTTATTCTTGTTTTATTACCTCAAACATAATTCACTCAAGTTCATGCAAAATACTGTAAACTGGCTCCTCCACTGGTTACACAAATAAATCCAATTCTCAGTTGGATAGAAGTCTATAAAACAAATTACGCTAAGTCTCGATGTATTACCTCAGTAAAAATTTCCACAAGTTTCAAGTATTTTTCAATACAGCTTGATGTTTATTTTAATTGTATTGTCTAATTGACAGTTAATACAGCAAGGTAAGTATTAGGGCGTGGCCTAGTCTTTTCAACAGCAACCTGTCAATCAGAATAGAGGCATAGCAATGCATATCCTTCTGCAGCTCCATTTCACAATATTGTCACAGTTATCCTTCAAAAACAAATTGTAAACAGCTAAGATTCATTTATTTCAAAGAGAGAAACATTTCTACATTCTAAAAAAAAAATGAAAACGAAAAGCAATTTGTCATAGAAGCAAAAGGCCTGCCTGTTGACTGTTGAGAGCCATCATTTCCCACTAATCAGTGCTCTCTGTCCTTTTGAGCGTTTTAGGCTCTCACTGTGAAATCTCTTACACCCTTGTCCATTTTCTCCACTTTTCTGTTCCTCTTCATTGCTTCTAAGTCCTGTACCTCTTAGCCTGCCATGAACACCATCGCCCATTCCCTTTTCCTCTCCTTGATTCTCTACTTGCACAAACCTGAAAAAGCATCGATCCGCTTGCAGCAGCGAGCATAAAATGAGCTCTTTAACTAGTCGTTGTGTGCAGATGACACACAGAGGGGTGCAAGGTGCTGCATTCAAGATACAAATTCTTCCACAGGTTTCTTCCTTTGTGGCTGAAATCGATGCTCAGGGTATGTGTGCCTGTGCCTGAGAAATGCGCAAAGCAAATTTAAATGTCATGGTCGTTCATTACACAGAGGTCAGCGTGTTTTTCGCTGTCTGCCGGTTGCTTTGTGATCACTGACGGGGACTGGAGTTATCTGAATACCTTCATCAAGGACCCTATCTCATGAGCAGCATTTGATGTTGTGTATGTGTGCTTGTGCAGTATGTGTGTTCAGCTCTTCCTCTTATACATCTAATTTATATACCAATTTGCTTCATTTTTTGTTTGGAAACATAATGCGCCCCAGATACATTTTTAATCAAGCAATGAAGTTGGGGATTTTTATTTCTAAATTGTAAGAAAGAATTTTTTGCATAGTATATGTATCTGATATTAGCTCACTGTCAATGCTTTTCTGGACAATATCCACAAATAAAGCATGGTTTATGTTGTAAGGCAAGTCAATCAGAGAGAAAGTCAGGAGATCACCATCGTGATTGATTTCCTGGGCATCATGAATACCTGTAACACATTTCATTGAAAACTGTCCAATAGCTGTCAAGATATTTCACTGATTACACAAATGCATCACTGACTTGCTCTGTGGGCCAAATCAAACCAATACGCTTATGCCTACATCTTTGATTTGGTACAGTAGGAGAATAGCAGCAATGCGCCAGTTTCTTCCAAAAAAATGGTAGACGTTGGAAAAAAGGTATTTAAATAAATAGAGTTCCTAGAAATCAGATTTTTTGCAGGCAATCAGAGCTTTGCAGTGCTGTCGTTTGTAGATTTGTGTGTAAAGTGTCTGTCCCTGTGACTGCTGTCGTAACAGTGACCTTTCTGTGCGTCAGCCTCCAATGGAGTGTGTCACCAAAACTAATTGCACAATGACATTTTAATGTGAAGTCTAATTTGCTTTTAGATGTGCACTGATTCATTTTTGTATTGAAAATGTTACGCATATCAAAGACCAGTGTGGTCTTTCATCATTTTGATATGAATTCTGTTGTTTTATTGCTTTTTCAGTCGGTTGTTTTGCAATATAAAGTCTGGCATTATTGCATGTTCCTCCCTGTGGTGAGAGGAGTCTGTTCTGTTTCTGTTTCCCTTACCAGACAGAACTTGAGTGTCTTCCGCTTTTCCTCTTCTAGCACAAGTATTTTTCTCACGGTTTCAAATCTTAATCCTTCTCTTCTCAGTCTTTATCTGAAATAGGCGCTGAGACTTTAAGTGCGTTACAACTCAGCGTAAAATTGTACGCCGGTTAACCTTGTGTTTCTGTCACGGTTTCATAATCACATCACATCTCTCCAGCCACCACTCACCTGGCCATCTTTACCACCCGACCACCACCACAACCTCCTCTTACTCCCAAAGACATTCCCTGGTCATCTCCAGTAAACACACACACACACACACACACACACACACACACACACACACACACACACACACACACACACACACACACACACACACACACACACACACACACACACACACACACACACACAGACACACACACACACACACACACACACACACACACACACACACACACACACACACACACACACACTGACACGTATGCAGCCACCCATATGTAATATTACCTTTGCATCTGCATTACACATTATCTTATAATAGTTAACCCACTCCTAGAGCAAAGCAGATTTCCACCGGGGAATTGCAATATACAGTGTGTGTATTTGTGTCTGTGTGTGAGTGCTTGTTTTTACTTAGTGGGTGTTAAGGATGTTGTGTGTTTGTGTGGGCTGTGGGCTGTGGGCGGTGCGCTGCATCTCTGAACAGTAGTACGTTCAGTAATGATGATAGATTAGGTAATAGCCATCAGGTCATAATGGGTATTGAACCTGTGTTTCCTCCATGAGCAAATTCCTCTAATGCAGGAAGGGAAGAGACGATTGCAATTTATTTTTAGAAGCATGATTGAATTCACATGGGCCATTAAATAATTGCAGTATTTGTTTCGTTTTCTAGCATTGTTTATTAGCTTTGTGCCGCTCGTTATTTTGATGGATGAGCCTGTTCTTGATAGATTTCACAATGAAAGGCCAAAAGTCAGTGATGATTGCTTCTCCTGCTGGAGCATCAGTGACCTTTACGCTCAGCTTTTCCTTTGAGAGTGTGAGGATTATATATAAAATTAAATGAGACGTTTAGACGTTTGATGGCTGGGTACGGCTAATCGCCTTTAGCTGTCTTTTCCCTTCTCTCTTCACCTTAATGATAGGATTAGGTTGACTTCTACTGTCCAGCCTGTGTTGATATTGTATCTGCCAATATCTGCCATTAATACTTCTATACAAGGTGTTTGGCTGGGAGTTGTGTGTGTGTGTGTGTGTTTGTTTCTTTCTGTTTTGTCTTTCCTCTGAATTTAATGTAGTCTTGTAAGCCCATGTGGGTTTGGTGTATGTCACTAGAGTAAAAATACTCACCCATAAGAACTGTTTTTGCTTCATGAGACAGTTCAAGGTTCAAGGTTCAAGGCTTTTATTTGTCATACGCACATAGCTACAGTGTAGTTATGTCGATGAAAATCTTGTGGCTGGGGTGATGGGGGTCTTTTATAATCCGGAGGGATTTCTTCCTGAGGCGCTGGGAGTAAAGGTCCTCCATGGATGGCAGCTCCGTCCTGGTGATGTGCTGTGCAGTTTTCACCACCCTCTGTAAAGCCTTACGATTGAGGACGGTGCAGCTGCCGTACCAGGCCGTGATGCAGCCAGTCAGGATACTCTCTATGGTGCACCTGTGGAAGTTGCAGAGTATCCTGGAGTCCATGTTGAACCTCCTCAGCCTGCGGAGGAAGAAGAGCCGCTATCGAGCTCTTTTGGTGGTGGTGTGAAGAGTCCATGTCAGGTCCTCAGTGATGTAGACACCGAGGAACCTGAAGCTGCTGACTCTCTCCACCGTAGTCCCATTGATAGCGATGGGGGCGTGTCCCTCTCTCTGCTGCTTCCTGTAATCCACAATCAGCTCCTTTGTTTTGCTGACGTTGAGATGGAGGTTGTTATCCTGGCACCAAGGTGTCGCCGTCGGTGATCTGGCCGATGACGGTCGTGTCGTCAGCAAACTTCACAATGGTGTTGGAGCTGTGTGTGGCCAGGCAGTCGTATGTGAACAGGGACATACCACCATAGTCCATAGTCCATGTCCAAGTGTACATTGTTAAGCAGTAATAATAGTCAAAGCCAGAGAATCTGGGCTATTGTTATAAATAATGTTGTATCGTTTGTGAAAGGCAAAAGGGAATTTAGAAGTGTTTGATCATCTTACACTGAGTTTATGGTGTTATTTTAAAAACTACTGGGAATAATTAGTGAACAAAAGCACAAAACTACAATTTTCCCAACTAAATTCCAGTTAATTAATAACAAAAACAAGATAATCCGTCCACGTAATTACATCTCACACATAAACATGACAATACAATCACACTAAGGGGAAATTCTCTGTTCTACCACCAGCCTAACATGTATGTCTTTGGACTGTTGGAGGAAACCTGAGAAGTGATCATGAAACATTGATCCGGCTGCACTTAATGCTCTTCCTGTTTTGTACATTAAAACAATTTGAGACGAGCAGCTTGGAGCAATACTTGGCACTGCTGTCTATGTTACCTAGAGGAGGTAAAAATCAATGCAAAACTAACTGAAAACCAGAGGGAATTTAAATGTGTGTTTTCTCTTAGCACTTCTGACTGCTGAGTGTTGGATCGTCTCCAACTGCTGCCGGCTAGAAAATAAGTCTACAATGTAAACTGAGCAGCTCAATGTGGCTTGTCGCAAACAAAGAAGAAAAATGTAATGTTCATTTTCTTTTGTTTGTATAATATTCCATTTTCACATCAGCATTTTCACTCTGGACCAGTCAACTGCAATTCCAGTTGTTTACCTAATACATGTTTGAGTATAAAGTACAAATACTCAGTTTGAATTGTTGCTGATCTAATTCAAAGTTGCAAAATGTACTTAATATTTTTGTTAAATTAAATGAAGAGAATCTGCTCCTTAACACTGAGAGTTTATTTAACAACATTTCTCAGTCTGTTTTTCCAACCACTTAGTGTGTGTGCCCTCTGACATCTCCTGCCTCCAGTTTCTAAAGAGCATCCTTACTCTGACTCTTAA